TAGTACAGATTCCGGCATAGAAGGAGAGCAGTGGATAGAACTTACCTTCTCCTCGCCCAGTTGCTTATATGTGGGCTGTCCCTTTAGAGAGGAGAGCGTATCAAAAGAGGAAGAGGGAAGCGCTGCCTGCCCCTGAACAATGTCCAAAGCCCCAGAGTGCATTGCTCAGAATTTTAAAGCGACGGGGGAGCCCGTCACCGGCCAGCCACCCGGCCCGCCTTGGCCCTGAGCAGGGATAAGGAGCGAAACCGCAAGGCAGGGGCTGGCTTGAAGAGATGGGAGCCATGCCGACCGCGGGAGAGGCTTTTCCCTGCCAGAAAGACGCCTTCCGACGTCGCCCTGCGAGGCACGGGCTTCCTGCTTCTCCTGCTCGTTCCTGCTTCCAACTTGTCGGGCAAGACACACCAAGCGGTGGCGTTGCGGCGTCACCTGCCGGACACGGGAGGCCAAGGCACACGATTCGCCGTCTTCTCTTGCGATCTGCGGCTGATGCCCGCCTACCCCTTCCGAGCTACATCTACTGCTTCACGGCCCTTTCGGGCGAAAGACTTCGGCTACCGAGGCAGAGGAAAAGCTGGCTTAGGGCAAGCTGGGGCTGGCAGGACGTGCTTGTCTGCAGAAAGGCTTGGGATGCGTGGGTCCCGCTGCAGCAAGACGTCGGCCTCCTTCGTGGGAGCAGGGTGGCGCTTGCCAGCTGGCTGGAGTCGCCCGTCGGCACACTGTGCCCTCGGGACCCCTCACTCAAGGAATCCTGCAGGGCTTTCCCCACAATTGTCGTCCTCAGCGCCCCCCCGTCTATTAAGCAATGTATTGAATTGTCGTTGCTGTTAAGAGGAAAGTCGACCAAATTTTACATCTTGACACAATGGAGCAGAAAGAGCCTTGCGGATGGCTGGAAATCGCAGCTCTCCCACGGGGCTCCCTTGCCTTGGATACTTGAGTATCTTGAAATGTAAAGAGAAACCCCAGGGAGGCGGAAAAAAGCATTTTTTCTGCCCGGTCTGCAGGCACTTGATAGGAAGCCCCGTAAGCGGCAGAACCTTCTTCGCTTAGGGTTGGCAGATGGGGGCTCGTGTGGCCCCCGTGTTCTGTCGGTGGAGCAAAAGCGCAGGTCCACCTTCCCCACGAGCCAAGCATAGTCCTTCCTCCTGTTGCAGGTTCGCACCAGACTAACAATGGGGAAAAGTTTGCAAAAGGGGGGGGGGTTCAGGCCTGCCCTCAAAAACTATGAGAGTGCAGAGCGCGTGGGTTCTTACTGTCCAAACCCAGCCGCCCCCCCACCCCAGAACCAAGCACGAGCTGCCCTTGCGTATCCCCCTCCCCCCGCCAAATTGGAAGACTTGTCAAATAGGACAGGTTGGGGGAGGACATCTCTGTGCCAATAAGAGCATTCCTTTCGGAGGGCCTTCTCCCATGTGCTCTGCTAGCTGACCACAAGGTCCTCATGGTGGCATGCGTGGCCCAAAATCACAGTTTTGTGCTAGCTGCTCTCAGTGCGGCAGCAACTGGCCCGCCAGCACAGAAATTCGAGAAGAGGAACTCAGTAGCTCCACTGAAAGCATCTGGCTAACTTTGTTGTTAGTTGCAAAGCCGTGTCCGACCCATTGCGACCCCATGGACAACACTCCTCCAGGCCTTCCTGTCCTCCACCATCGCCCAGAGTCCACCCAAGCTCACGCTGACTGCTTCAGTGACTCCATCCAGCCACCTCATCCTCTGCCGTCCCCTCCTTCTTTTGCCATCAATTGTTCCCAGCATCAGGCTCTTCTCCAGGGAGTCCATCCGTCTCCTCAGGTGGCCAAAGCATTTGAGTTTCATCTTCAGCATCTGGCCTTCTAAAGCGCAGTCAGGGTTGATCTCCTCTAGGACTGACCGGTTTGATCGCCTTGCGGTCCAAGGCGATCTCCTCCAGCACCACAATTCAAAGGCCTCAGTTCTTCGGTGCTCAGCCTTCCTTATGGTCCAGCTTTCACAGCCATACATTGCAACTGGCTAAATTGAAAGGGAGCAAAACAGAAGAAAAACATAGTTGTGGGCATGTATTACCATCCACCCGGACAGAAAGAGGACAAGGATGCAACCTTTGAAAAGCAACTTGACGGCATTTCCAAGAATGATGTAGTCATCATGGGGGACTTCACTTTCCTTTAAGAGACAAATTCTGCCAAGGATGGCCCCTCCAAGGGATTCCTGAGATGTGTTGCCGACAACTTTCTCCAGCAGAAAGTAGAGGAAGGCATGAGAGGATCAGCTATCCTCGATTTAATACTAACAGGGACGGCTTGGGGGACAAAAGAAGCACCATGAGAGGTCTGGGGGAAAGTGACGACTTGAATGCTCAGTGATGGACACAGGGTAACTGGAGCCAAACAAGCAACCTGGACCTCAAGAAAGCCAACTGTAATGGACTTAGGAAAATGATAAACGAAATGCCATGGCAACACATCCTTAACGGGAAAGGTGTCCAAGGGGGATGGGAACTCTTGAAAAAGAAGATTCTCGAAGCACAACTACAAACAATTCCATCAAGAAGAGAGTGTAGAAGACAGCAGAGGAAGCCCACGTGGCTCCACAAAAGGTTAAGTGACAGCTTGAAAGAAAAAAAGAACATGTACAGGAAGTGGAAGCAGGGCCAGACCACGAAAGAAGAATATAAACAAATAGCAAGGAATTGCATCAGGAAGGTTAAAGCAGAAAATGAACTAAGAATAGCAAGGGATGCCAAGCACAACAAGAAAGTCCTCTTCAGATACATCCAGGACAAAAGACATGAGAAAGAGAAGGGTGTCCAGCGACTTAAAGTGGATGGCAGAGTGATAACCGATGACAAGGAAAAGGCAGAGGTGCTCAGTTTCTACTTCGCTTCAGTCTTCTTCCACAAGGAAATCTGCAATCAAGAGGAAGTGAGAGATGGCAGCCCAAGAAGGACAGAAAAATGGTCAAGGAACACCTGGGTGGAATCAACCCTTTCAGATCTCCAGGGCCTGATGAACTCCATCCCAGAGTCATTGAAGAGCTAGCGGAGGAACTCTCAGAGCCACTGGCTATTATCTTTGATAAATCTTGGAAAACTGGAGCACTGCCAGATTGACTGGAGAAGGGATAACATTGTCCCGGTCTTCCAAAAGGGGGAAAAAGAGGAACCTGGGAACTATAGACCAGTTCGTCTGACATCAATCCCTGGAAAAATCCTGGAGCAAATTATTTAAAAATCCATCTGCAAACATCTTGAAAAAAAATGCAGTGATTAACAGAAGCCAGCATGGATTTATCAAAAGTTAACTCCTGTCAGACTAATTTAATCTCATTGTTTGACTGGGTAACCTCCCAAATGGACAAAGGGAACACTGTGGACATAATCTACTGAAACTTTAGTAAAGCGTTTGACATAATGCCACACGACATTCTGATAAGCAAAACTGGACTAGATGGAAAAACTATTAGGTGGATCCAAAATTGGCTGCTAAATCGGTCACAAAGAGTGCTCATCAATGGCACCTTCTCAAAGTGGGTGGAGGCAACGAGTGGGGTGCCGCAGGATTCAGTCCTGGGCCCACTGCTCTTCAACATCTTTAATAATGATTTAGATGAGGAAGTACAAGGAAAGATAATCAAATTCACAGATGATACAAAACTGGAATAGCAAACACCCTAGAAGACAGAATGAAGATCCAAGGCAGTCTTGATCAACTTGAATGCTGGGCTGAAAGCAACAGAATGAAATTCGATAAGGACAAGTGCAAAGTCTTCCACCTAGAAAAAAAAAAAACCCAAATGCATCGATACAAGTTGGGGAATGCGTGGCTCACCAGAACTGAAAAAAGATCTTGGAGTAATTGTGGACAATTGCTAAACATGAGCCAACAGTGTGATGTAGCCTCCAAAAGGGCAAATGCTATTTTGGGATGCATTAACTGAAGTATTACTTCCAATTAATGAGAAGCAGTAGTTCTTCTATACTCCTCACTAGTCAGCCCTCACCTGGAGTACTGTGTCCAGTTCCGGGCACCAAGATTTAAGAAAGATGCAGGTAAATTAGAAAGGGTCCAGAGAAAGACAACAAAAATGATTCAGGGTTTGGAAACACTGCCCAAGAGGAGACTGAGAGAATTGGTCGTGTTCAGCCTTGAGAAGATGGGGGGAGGGGGATGATATCCCTCTATAAGTACCTCAAAGGTTGTCACAAAGAGGAAGGCTGAAATCTCTTCTTGCTGATGCCGGAGTGCAGGACACGGAATAATCCAGTCAAGTTGCGACAACCCAGGTACAGGCTGGGCATCAGGAAAAGCTTCCTCACTGTCAGAGCAATGCGATAGTGGGGCCAGCTGCCTGGAGAGCTGGGGGCTCTCCCACACCAGAGACATTCAAGGCAAAACTGGGCAGCCCTCTGGGTGGGATGGTGTGACTTGGTGTCCTGCAACAGCAGGGGTTGGACCCGATGGCCTTCATGGCCCCTTCCAACTCTACTATTCTGTGATTCTATCTTGAGATACCATCTGAACAGTTCGGCTACAGCTGAGGGAGAAACATATACTGCTCCCTAAAGTGGAGCTTCCTTTAGCCAGCAGTGTTTAGCTTGTGCCAATGATTGCACGATGTACCTATATAATTTTATAGTTATTGATTTGCTCACCATGCTCTGTCCAGACGCAGCCAAACCTTTGGCTGTCCTTAGCTTATGAAAGCATAGTTAGCTCAAAGGGCTCCTTGCACAGGAAGGCACATAGAAGGACCTGGCCTCTGGCAGCAGCCAACAAGGAAACTCCCTGGGAAACTCACGGGATGATGCCAGAAAAGAGGGTTCTCTCTGGCCCAGTTACGTGTTAGATCTTTTCGTGATTTTACCCATAGAAGTTATTCCAAATGATTTGAACATCAAAGTAAAATGAAAAAAAAAATAGCTGTGGCAAATTAGCCTGAAAGCATAAATTTCTGGAGATGGACAGGTCATAGCAGAGAGCTCTGACAAAAGCTGATCCACTGGAGAAGGAAATGGCAACTCACTCCAGTATCCTTGCCATGAAAACCCCATCGACAGTACCAAAGGGCAAAATAATGACGCCGGAAGACGAGCCCCTCAGGTCGGAAGGTTTCCAATGTGCCACTGGGGAAGAGCGGAGGGCTAGTACTAGTAGCGCCAGAAAGAATGAAGCGACTGGGTCAAAGCCGAAAAGACACTCAGTTGCTGATGTATCTGGTGGTGAAAGGAGAGTCCGATGCTGTAAAGATCTAAGATCTATGAATAAAGGCAAGCTGGATGTGGTCAAACAAGAGATGACAAGACTGAACATCGACATCTTAGGAATCAGTGAACTAAAATGGACAGGAATGGGTGCATTTAATTCAGATGACCATCTGGTATACTACTGCAGGCAAGAATCCCTCAGAAGAAATGGAGTAGCCTTCATGGTCAATAGAAGAGTAGGAAAAGCAATACTGGGATATAATCTCCAAAATGACGGAATTATCTCAGTTCAAATCCAAGGCAAACCATTCAACATCACAGTAGTCCAAGTCTATGCCCCAACTACTGATGCTGAAGAGGCTGAAGTTGACTGGCTCTATGAAGGCCTACAACACCTTCTAGAATTAACACCAAAAAATGATGTCCTTACCATCATGGGGGATTGGAATGGTAAAGTAGGAAGCCAAAAAATAACCGGAATAACAGGCAGGTTTGGCCTTGGGAGTACAAAATGAAGCAGGGCACAGGCTGGTAGAATTTTGTCGAGAATACGATGGTCATAGCAAACACTCTTTTCAAACAACCAAAGAGACGACTCTACACAGGGACATCATCAGATGGTCAACACAGAAACCAGATTGACTACGTGCTCTGCAGCCAAAGAAGGAGCAGCTCTATACAGTCAGTAAAAACAAGACCAGGAGCTGACTGTGGCTCAGATCATGAGCTTCTTGTTGCAAAATTTAGGCTTAAATTGAAGAAAGTAGGGAAAAGCACCAGGCCAGTCAGGTATGACCTAAATCATATCCCTGATGAATATACAGTAGAGGTGACAAAGAGATGTAAGGAATTAGATCTGATAGACAGAGTGCCTGAAGAACTATAGAAGGAGGTTCGCAACATTGTACAAGAGGTAGCAACTAAAACCATCCCAAAGAAAAAGAAATGTAAGAAAGCAAAATGGCTGAGGAAGCTTTACAAATAGCAGCGGAATGAAGGGAAGTGAAAGGCAAGGGAGAAAGAGATACACCCAACTGGATGCAGAATTCCAGAGAACAGTTAGAAGAGATAAGAAGGCCTTCTTGACTGAACAGTGCAAAGAAATAGAAGAAAACGATAGAATAGGGAGGATCAGAGATCTCTTCAAGAAAATTGGAGATATGAAGGGAACGCTTCATGTAAAGATGGGCATGATAAAGGACCAAAATGGCAGGGACCTAACAGAGGCAGAAGCGATTAAGAAGAGGTGGCAAGATTACACAGAAGAACTATACAAGAAAGAGCTTAACGTCCCTGACAACCACGATGGGGTGGTCACTGACCTCGAGCCAGAAATCCTGGAATGTGAAGTCAAATGGGCCTTAGGAAGTCTGAGCAACAACAAAGCTAGTGGAGGTGACAGTATTCCAGCTGAGCTATTCAAAATCCTAAAATATTATGCAGTAAAAGTGCTACACTCAATATGCCAGCAAATTTGGAAAACTCAACAGTGGCCACAGGATTGGAAAAGGTCAGTTTACATTCCGATCCCAAAGAAGGGCAATGCCAAAGAATGTTCAAACTACCGCACCATTGCACTCATTTCACATGCTAGCAAAGTTATGCTCAAAATCCTACAAGCTAGGCTCCAGCAATATGTGGACCGAGAACTACCAGAAGTATAAGCAGGGTTTCAAAGAGGCAGAGAAACTAGAGATTAAATTGCCAACATGGAGAAAGCTAGGGAGTTCCAGGAAAACATCTACTTCTGCTTCATTGACTATGCTAAAGCCTTTGATTGTGTGGATCGTAACAAATTGTGGCAAGTTGTTAAACCGATGGGAGTACCAGACCACCTGATTTGTCTCTTGAGAAACCTGTAAGTGGGTCAAGAAGCAACAGGGAGAACTGGACACAGAACCACTGATTGGTTCATAATTGAGAAAGGAGTTCGGCAAGGCTATATACTGTCGCCCTGCCTATTTAACTTATATGCAGAGCACATGATGAGAAAGGCAGGGCTAGATGAATCACCAGTTGGAATTAAGATTGCCGGGAGAAATATGAACAACTTCAGATATGCAGAGAATACCACTCTCATGGCAGAAAATGAAGAGGAACTAAAGAGCCTCTTGATGCAGGTGAAGGAGGAAAGCGCAAAAGTTGGCTTGAAACTCAACATTAAGAAAACTAAGATCATGGCATCCGACCCTATCACTTCTTGGCAAATAGATGGGGAAGAAATTGCGGTGATGACAGATTTTATTTTCCTGGGCTCCAAGGTCACCACAGACGGGGACTACAGCCAAGAAATTAAAAGACACTTACTCCTTGGAAGGAAAGCTATGGCAAATCTAGACAGCATACTAAAAAACAGAGACATCACCCTGCCAACAAAAGTGCATATAGTCAAGGCGATGGTTTTCCCAGCTGCAATGTATGTCTGTGAAAGCTGGACCATAAGGAAGGCTGAGCGCCGAAGGATTGAGGCCTTTGAATTGTGGTGCTGGAGGGGACCCTGCGAGTCCCTTGGACTGCAAGGAAATAAAACCAGTCAGTCTTAGAGGAGATCAACCCTGACTGCTCTTTAGAAGGCTGAATACTGAAGATGAAACTCAAATACTTTGGCCACCTGAGGAGGAGGGAGGACTCCCTGGAGAAGAGCCTGATGCTGGGAACAATTGATGGCAAAAGGAGGAGGGGGCGGCAGAGGATGAGGTGGCTGGAGTCACTGAAGCAGTCGGTGTTTGCTTAAGTGGACTCTGGGGGATGGTGGAGGACAGGAAGGCCTGGAGGAGTGTTGTCCATGAGGTTGCGATGGGTGGGACACGACTTCACAACTAGCAACAACATGGAATTGAAGAGTGCTTCTCAGTAGCAGCTTCTCATTCTGGAGGGAATGAGAAGGTTCATTCCTGGGCTCAGTGCTCCTCATTTTTATTCATGTTTTGGATGAGGGGTGGGAATGCTCATCAAATTTGTGGACCACACAAAAATGGGAGGGACAGCCACTACCCTGGAAGACAGAAAGAAGATTCAAGGTGATCTTTTTGTTGGGCTGCCCCTCTCAGCTGGGATAGCCATGTGCCTGGGTAGTGCCGCATCTATTGCTGGGAACCCCCAGTATTTAACCTGTGTGGCCTGTCCATCCCTAAGCAAGGGGTGAGTAGATTTACAGGCATGGTCGGGACGAGGCACCCCTGGGCGTACTGCCTGCATAGGAGGCATCTGCAAGCGCTCTCTGCTGCACTGCATTCCAAGAAAGTTTTCGTGCAAAAGTGCCACGGGAACAGAGCAGGGTCGTGGAGCCCTGTTTGGGCACCTGTCCATATTGCTTAATGAGCCACACCTGAGAGGCAGCCAAGCTTTCACTTTTCTTTATTAGTCAGTCGAGTCCTGCAATTTTTGTCCAATCAACCACTACACCAAAACAGCAATCCCCAATTCTAATTAAAGTTGCGGCACTACGGCACAAACACATGAACTCCAGAGGTTTGTGAAAGTCAAAATCAGTCCATACATTTTAGCAAATACACAATATATGCTTTTATTACCCATCCGAGGCACATGCACTATGGAAAGAACACCCAGTAAGATTACTGTGAAGATGCGGCATGTACGTGCCATGTGAAATAGTACCATGCATGGAAAAGTAACTCAGCTAGACAGCAGGTTTGAGAAGCATCTAAACTGACTTACTGGTAGAGGGGAGCTTAAAGGGCTAGCTTTTAAAGTGCTCAAGGGGCTAGTCTCCCCAGCTCAACGCACCACTCAAATTTGGAAATCTTCCATTAAGCAGCTGCACTCAAGGCAGTCTTCGAATCAGTACTTCACGGCCATGCATGCATGGAAGAGACCCATCTACGGAGAGAGCCAGAACATAGCACCTCTGTTGAAGTGTACCTTAACAAAAAAAGGTATCCATCTGATTCCAGGTAAGGGTAGAGCAGCGGACGAGCACTCTAGACTGCCTGACTTCGGCCCTCTGTGAACCAATTCCCAAGATCCCCCCGGTTCAGCCTAGTGATTCATTAGTCAAAAGCAAAACCTACATATACACACATTCAAATCATCATCCAGCCATTGTGAATTCAGTAGAAGTTCTTGCAGAAGGAGAGAGAAGAGGGTCAGGATGCATTAAGACTCGAAGGAAGCCTACTGCTCTTCAAGGGCGAGGGAGAGTTCTGGGCCATGCACCACTGGCAGCAGCAGCCAGCGACCCTGCGAGCTTTGCTCGCAGCGCACGGCTGCTCAGCTCACACAGCCAGTGAGAAGGGAGGCCAGACTCAGGAAGACAATCGCAGAAGTTCAAATATACAGGTTAGATACTAACGACCATGCTCTACAGATTTCATTGCGTGGCGAGCACTTACAAAAAAACTATGGGAAACACTGTCCCCGATAATTAAGACACCCTTAGTGCAACATATGGGGGTCACTGCCCCCGATACAACACTGTGGTAGGCAAAAACTACCTTGTTCTTTAACATTATGGGAGACACTGCCCCCGATAATGTGGCCCAAGTTCTCATGATACATCATAGTACTGGAAGTTTTACACAACAGCTGCCGCGACTGTGCATTCAAGCACAGCCTGGCATGGGCCTGCGATGGCTTGCTCCAGACTAACCTTAAGAAACGCGGCTGAAGGCGGACCCAAGAAGTGGTGCCCGTCAGCGCTTCGCGTGGGCGGGCGCCACCGTCGAGCTCCCAGTGAAGCAAAGCAGCACTGTGGCTCCGGCCCTGAGGAGACAAGCCCAGCAGCTTCCTCAGATCGGTCAGAGAAGGTGCTGCTGCTTTGCAGTTGCTGTGCCCAACAGCAGCACTCCCCAGGATTCCCTTTCGCCTGCCAGAACAGCGTTCCCCCAGGAGGGGAACACGTGTCCTCGTGCAACCGGGGCTGTTGATGCAAGCCGCTGGGAAACCGATGGCAAAAGTTCCAGTTATCATGGTTGGATTGTACTAGCAGATGCTGCTTTTTTATAAAAAACGACAGTATAACTGTCATAATTATGGAAGTCACTGCTTCCGATAATTATCTTCTGTAGAAAACAAATACCATTTATAGTGAACACTGTCACTGATAAATAAATAATAAATACCTCAACATCACAATGCAGGCAGAGTCGGCCTCTCCTGAAAGCACTCCACATTTTGCTAGCAGAGAGAGAAGCCACGGTTCCTGAAGGGCCTCAGAGCAAGGGGTCAAGTGCCACAAGCCCCTCTCTGAGCAGGAATGCTCGTTTTAGTTTTTAAATAGTACCACAGAACTACACACAGTCCTGTCGTCAGGAATCGTGTCTTTGGCATGGCCTTCCTGAGTAAGGAGAGGGGCAGTCGCAGGAGAGGTCCAGAAAGGCTTTCTCCGTTCTCTTGCAAAGGCAGGAGAAGCAGCTCTCAGCCCACGCTGGATCTGCCCATGGGCAAACGGCATTCATTCTACGCCAGGGGCTGGCGGGCTTGAGATCTGGTACTCAAGAGACAGATAGTTCTAACAAGAGCAGAGGGGAGATTCGGGCTCAGCTTCTGCCATCAAAAAACATGCCGCAAATTAAGTATCTTTTCCTCTCCACTATAGCAGAGCTTGGGAACAACTTGAATGATGGCTGGCTGTATGCTCTCCATGTTAGAGGCATTGGTTTGCTCACTCTGAAACAGCCCTCTTGCTGACTTTAGGACAGAACATAAAAAGTGGAGTCTACATTTAGCTAAATTCATGTCAGGACACTCACGGATTTGATTTAATTTTCAATTCTGGAAATTTGAAAATTGCTTCAATTTTTGTCTGGGCTTCTGGAAACCCTCTGAATGGCTAAGGGGACTTTGTGGTGTGCTGCTATGTAGGAGGAAAGGTCCCCTGTGGCGGCGCCCCTGAAGCGCTCGGCCACCTCAGAACTCATTGTCTATGTTCCAGATGTCCCCCGAGAGGGCATTGGCAGCCCCCTGGATGATCCACGTGGCCAGGGCCAGCTGGTTCCTGAACAGGGTCTCGTTGAAGGCGTCTGGCTTGGTTCTCCGGAGGCGGAGGTGGTCCACCAGCGCTTGCAGAGTGTGGGGGCCGGAACCAAAGAAGACGTGGCGGAAGGGGACGTCCGTGGGAGAGACATACGGGGAGAGGAAGTGGTACTCCACCTGAGAGGAGAGGAGAGGAGAGGAGAGATGGACATAGGCACCCACCCCCGAGAACATGCCTTTGGGCAAGGCAACACAGCTCTGTGTTGAAGGGGCAACCAGAACCCCCAGGAGCAGCCAGCGAAGACCGAGCACGAGCACCTGACCAGCTCAGGTGTGAGGGGCCCTGGAGAGCTTTCTGGGCAAAGGCCCAGTTCCTTCGAGGCTGTGGGGGAGTGGGGGGCTTGGGTCAATCCAGCTTCACTCAGATCAGTGAGTCCTCCCACACGGGCCTCTTTATGGCCCAGGAGGGAGGCAGGGAGGGAGGGGAAAAAAAGACGACGACTCACCTTCATGATCCGGTCATTCAGCTCACGACAAGCAAGCTTGTTGTCCAGGTCAGTGTTCCCGAAATCTTCCGTCAGGCCAGTGACGGCTCGAGTGAAATCTCCACGGGCCCCAAAAAGCCACTGGAGGTCCAAGCCCAGGCTCTGCAAGCAAGAAAAGGCAGAGCCTCAGCATTAGCAGCAAGCAGGGATGGCCCTGG